TGTGTCACATCAGGAAGATCTATTTCAAACTGTAAATGGCTTACGTACGTACCGCTGGGCATCAGCTTGAAGACCAGGAGCGGGTAGGCAAGGTTGCTGCATGAGGTGCGGCTGCCGCACGCCCTCTCACACACGTCAGGGTCAACACACGCCACGAGATCTGCAAGATAAATGAGGGAACAACGAGGTCAGTGACACTGGTATTTGAAAAGGGTTTGCTGATCATCTAGGATTATTTCAGTGGCGAAGTTAGGGTGGGCCAAAGGGGGCCATGTCCCCACTGTTGATCCGAAAGTTGAAAAAAATATAAATAAATAAAAATAAAAATGAAGAGAAAAGGGGGAAGGAGGTTGGTTAACAGGCCAACAGTACATACGACCTACCCCTACCCCCCTGGCCTGGAAGCGTTATTTTTATTTACGGCACAGAACGCGGCTTGCATATAAAACGTAAAATCTGCGGAATTGGCATATATTCCTGTATTCTGTATCTGACGTGCTACTACGGCCACATACAAACGCGCGCGGTCCTAAAACATTATCTATTTAAAATGGAGTTTAGGGATATCTGAGAGTAGATTTCTATGATAAATTCCAATCATCTGACCTTTGTTTATGAATAGAAACACGTTCTAACATGGGTAGTACCCGCGGCAGTTGCCTTCTGAACAGAATCTGGCTACGGTACGTATTTGACTGTGCTTTGCAGGCCCAGATACGTGTTCGCGCATGCGCAATATCTGCCGATAGGATTCTTATTTTACCACAGTTATATATTTAAATTGGAGTGGGGATATCTGAGAGTAGATTTCTATGATAAATTCCAATCATCTGACCTCTGTTTATGCATAGGAACACGCCCTAGCATGGGTGGTACCCGCGGCAGTTGCCTTCTGAACAGAATCTGGCTACGGTACGTATTTGACTGTGCTTTGCAGGCCCAGATACGTGTTCGCGCATGCGCAATATCTGCCGATAGGATTCATATTTTGCCACAGTCATATATTTAAATTGGAGTGGAGATATCTGAGAGTAGATTTCTATGATAAATTCCAATCATCTGACCTCTGTTTATGAATAGAAACACGCCCTAGCATGGGTGGTACCCGCGGCAGTTGCCTTCTGAACAGAATCTGGCTACGGTACGTATTTGACTGTGCTTTGCAGGCCCAGATACGTGTTCGCATGTGCAATATCTATCTGCCGATAGGATTTTTATTTTGCCACAGTTATATATTTAAATTGAAGTAGGGATATCTGAGAGTAGATTTCTATGATAAATTCCAATCATCTGACCTTTGTTTATGAATAGAAACACGCCCTAGCAAGAGCGGTACCAGCGGCAGTTGCCTTCTGAACAGAATCTGGCTACGGTACTTCATTTGGCTGTGCTTTGCCGGTCCAGATATGTGTTCGCGCATACGCAATATCTGCCGATAGGATTCTTATTTTGTGACAGTTATGTATTTAAGATGTAGTAGGGATACCTGAGAGTAGATTCCCATTATAAATTCCTATCATCTGGCGTCTGTTTACGAATGGGAAAATGACCTAGCATGTGAGGTAACCGCGGCAGTTGCCTTCTGAACAGAATCTGGCTACGTTACTGTACACGTTTATGTCACTATTCAGCAAGAATTCAAACACGAATCTGAAATAATTGCAACTTGTAACTAATAATTGCGAAATGATTAACAACGATCGCCTCGATCCGCGTGATACTCCGTGTCTGTCACCTTCACTATTATTACTCATATCATTGTCTCACCTGTGAATAGCACACGGCTAACCATGCCAGGAATTACTATTATGAACATGGGTAAGATCTTGATGTAGCCAGCAAACAGTGTCCCGCCTTGAGCATGAGAGAGGCTCTTGGCGGCCATTGCTCTCTGTACCATCATCTGTTGAGGATTAGCCATAGATACAGACTGAACTATAGAAACTAATTTGGTCACCATTATAGCCTCCCTTTATAAAACTACATTTTAATTATTTTAATGTACAAAACTTTGCGAGGTTGTTATACTATCATATACATATATGGTGTCAGGACAAATAATGACGCCGGCACCTGCCCCCAACCCCATTACTAATAAAGTAGTGCATTGTTTAAACTACATGCATAACTACTTCACTCAGTTCGACTGAAACTAAGAAGGTATTGAAGAAGATGAGTTTTTATCGTTGTTCACTTTAGAATTTATATCCTCTTGATGCAAAATAAAGTCTCGATTTAATATATCTCAAAGAGTAAAGAATGTATAATAATTAAGCAATTGCGTGTTTAACAAATTACGTCACTTACGAAACGTTGGTGCTACGTAATCATGTTCAACTGGTGACGAACTTTCTTGGTCCACTGCTAAAATAGTAATCAGGTTTTTGTATTGCAACATATATATATATGACTATATACAATCATACAATCATATTGAATCATCTTGATACAATAGAACAAGAAGGTTTGAGGGAAACATCTTCATTTGAATCATGTCTGACTCTTCAGCTGTGAGTGTACATAATATAGTGTATATCCTAGGAAAACTGATATTAAAATATTATATTATCACCCTCCAAAATAATAGTGACTTCAAATAACTGCAAATTAAGGCAAGGCTATGGGTAAATAAGTGAGAAAAGACACCTCTCATATTTGCACCACGTTATATTAAAAGACTGAAATATAAAATTTACCCCACCAATTCTGATTGCCATACCAAATTATCAACCAAATGTGTTTACTCTCAATAAAACTATGGATGCTAACGATGTCAATGCTATTACATAGCCCTTACGAAGTAATTTCACATAAAATGAAGGACGAAATTAAAGAACATGGTTACAGAACAGGCACACATACACGTACTTTCTGTTTTGTTTTTTTCTTCCATCGGGATTCCCGGTTGTTCGCGTTCGTTGTCGTGGATACCTGCTGCCTCATCAAAGTGATCCTCGTCAACAATCTCGCGATGGTCATTTCGAGTCCAGTATGTCGTTCTCACCAACTGCAAGCAACACAAAAGACAAAGATTTTTAGCTTACTAGACGAGACATTTTTTATTTTATTTTTAGAAAGTTTTTTAGTTGAATGTTACCAGCTGGAGCTAACCATCATCTGCAAAATATCCTTCACATGGTTCATACCAGCAGAAATATTAGTAATACGTTACTCGACAGGCAATTGCGCATGCATTTGTGATAGAATTTCACTGCATTCTGTGAAGGATTGAGCTTCTCAGTGTAATGTGAACTCCATGGGTGAATAATGACAAATGACATTTGACATTTGACAAATGACATTTGACATTTGACAAATGACATAATGACATTTGTCATTTGTCACCCCTGGTTCTACCAAATGGCCACACCAAAAAACTATGATGCGCACATGTTTTGCTGGAAGTGGTGAGGTCAGTAAGCTGACGATGACTGCTGTGGTGATGGTCAGCCAGAACAAGATCAGTGCAAAGTACATGTAGTGCACATTCTTCACAAACGCAGGGCGTGGGTCGCCATCGGTCCACTTTTCCATACATGTCGGAACTTTGTAGTAGAAGTCTATGATCATGCGTGTAATTCCAACAACGAACCCAACCAGGAGCCCATAGAAGCACCCCTGACAAAAATAAATAATGGTTATTCCTCTTCCAACATTATATATATATATATATATATATATATATGTATGTATATATAAACTGTATCAGTAAACTAATATCAGAAGTAAAATAAGGACAGTTGTCATTTTATTCCTGCTAATAATAATAATTTAAATGTAGTATTGATAAATTAATTCATTGATAATTTAGACGTAGTATATGTATTGGCATGTGTCGTGGACATGAAGGCAGGCACAGACACTCTGGGTGCCACTCTATCTCTAACTCTGTTTGCTGTATAGACTGTAGATTTCATGCAAGTACGGAGATCGTACGATAGCAAAAAAAGCTACAAGCTCAGTTCTACCTTTTCATTCATCCGCTTCCATATAATTGCCAGAGAGTAAGCGGCAGCGATGGGTGGTGCGAGGTATGCAGCAACTGTTTGTATGTAGTGGTACAGTTCACCTCCCTGCATGGTCTGAATGACTGGCACCCAGACAACACTGATCGCTGTCATGAGAAGCACAAACAGCCTAAAATGCACAGATAAAATCAAACTCATTATAAAATTACATAGTAGTTAAGGTATTTCTGAGACCCTGAAACACCGTCCTCGGAAGAAACAGACCATTTCACTCTTTCAGTAAGAAATTCAATCGATTTCTAATAAGTCTAATGAGACATATCTCAAACACCCACACACGCGCAGTATTACTGTTACATAATTTTGGAAGGAAAAACATTCCAGGTATACAGTTTACAACGGATAGGTCACACAAAATCAGCTGACTCCAATAGGTAATTAAGTAGGTCATGCTAGACGATCATTTCCCCTTGGAAATAACATAACTAAAATACGAATATTCTGTCATAAACTTTCAACATGAAAAGGAGCAATATTTCACGAAATATGTAACATTGCGATAAACAACCTAAAAACAAGCCCTCATTTCCCATTGCCACCATAAGTAGCAGTCTGTATACTTTCACTATTTGCCTGTCCCTTCGTACGAGACACCAGTGTCTTTAAATAAAATAAGAGAGCACAACATTTACTCACCTGCCAACAATCATCAGCTCTTTCACAGACGCCTTCTTACGGATGTGCGTGTAGATATCGATGGTGAACAGAGTGCTGCTGCTGTTGAAGATTGATGTCAAGTCACTGATAAGAGCCGCCAACATCACCGCCACCATCACACCTCTCGCACCTTGCGATAAGAATATTAGCTATAGCTAACGCTGAGAGTGTCTACGTCTCCCAGGGTACTGCCGGAACGTACCCTGGTATCAGAGCGTATAAATCAACGTGATTTATATGCTCTGCTGGTACTATCTAATATGCCGGACCGTACTTCGCCTACTCCACTAACGAGTCTAGGGAGTCGCCTACGCCTACTCCCTAACCCTAACCCTAACCATATCAGATAGTTACCAGGAAATGGGTTTCAAAACTTTAAATTGTATATTTAAGATTTCTACTCACAGGCAACCATAACATCATGCGGCCTGCCAGGAAATATCCACTCACGGTGCCACGATTGGATCGCAACATGGACTGCAACGGCAGGGAGATTCACAGTGTAAGCGTATGGCTGATAGGTTTAGGTAGAACAGACTTGGGAACTACGAAAAATAACAGGCTATGTGTAGGTATAGTGTTTAACTAGGTTTTATATCGAAATTCCCACGATAATTCAATCCAAGCACCAGTTCATTAATTTCCCTAGCAATGAAGAGTTTCCCCCATATATTTAGATCAGGACACAATTCTTATTTAATCTGGTGTACCACCGCTATATCTACGATTCTCAAACTTTCTTTCCGAGATCACATGTGAATCTAATTATAGTTAAAATATGCAAAGTTTAAAGAGTGAATGTATAGATAAATGAATGAGTGCATAGAATAGATGAATGAATGAATTAGTGAAGTTTCTTTTTGGTACCCCAAACCCCTGTCTGACGGCTTCATAACCCTGTTTTCGTTGTTATTGCAGTAATACAAATTTGGTATATTATGAATTAAGGTTTGCAATATAAAATGCGACAGAAGAAGAATTACGACAAATTACAATGTATTTCCACCAAAAAATACTTCATCAATAGCTGAACATACCAACACGCCAGCTCCAATGACAAGTCCGAAGTATATAACAATCACTATTATATCCAACGTATCCAATTCCCCTCTCGCCTCGGGTGCTATAGATACAGCCGTCATCGTCCTATCAGACGTTCCTCACATCGAATGACTAAATAACCGCTTAACAACTAAAATCTTATAGCATCCACGCATCATATACGCTAACTGACATGACACATACGAGTTCCAAGTTCAAAGGTGTTTACAAGGTAAACATTGTCACCTGACGCAGATAGGCGTTATTTATTTGGCCAACATATATACTGTCTACGTCTACTGCTTGGAAGCAGCTCAAGGAATTGCCAGGAATTTTTTGACAGCGCAAAATGATGCATGTCACCGAGACGATTTCATACGGGAGTGCACGAAACTGAGTACATTGCAAAGAAGATGCGAGTACATGATGTTTTGAGAAGTCTGATGAACGAAACGACATTGTCAACTGTAGATGTACCAAAATGTGTCAGATTTGTGAAACGTAGATTTGGCCACAATGAGCCACGTTCCTACACTTGATCAACGGCTGAGCAAAAGCACTAAAAATGCTACCATGTCTGTAGACCAATACTAGAACACACATAAATATCTGATCACACGAAGAAGAGGGAGAAGAAAAGAAGAAGAAGAATGAGGAAGCAGAAGATGAAGAAGATGAAGAAGAAGAAGAAGAAGAAGAAGAAGAAGAAGAAGGAAGAAGAAGAAGAAGAAGAAGAAGAAGAAGAAGAAGAAGAAAAAGAAAAGGGAGAGGTATTCCGGTACAAATACTCAATATAAAAAGTGACCAGGCATGATAATGCTAAATACAAACGCAAAGCTCTTCTCATCCTACACTGGAAGACGAAAACACAATCTTCACAATATGAGTATTTGTTAAAGTGACAACAACGTGGCAAACGTGGCAACACAGATTAAACATATAACCACTTTTGCGATAACTATGACATCAGAAAATGTCGATATTAAAATCGACTCAGATTCTTGTTTTAAACATGCAAGATAAAATAATAAACCCTACTTAGTTTAACCATATATCTATATGATTGTATTGTACCTCAGAGATTCTAGTTTTTACAATGAGAAAAAAAATATAAAGCTCTACTGGTATAACCATATTATATATGTATATCATGTATGTGTACTTATAACATGCAGGGACGACTATGGTATAATAAAATGTGCGTATTCCTCAAACTTACATAATATGTGCATATAATACAGTAAAACATGGGTACAATAATAACC